TGTTTTACCACTCTTGCTATTCCTGGTGCATTTCTTTTTATCTTGTTTTTTTTTATTTTGTTTTTTCTTTCTTATTTTCATTTTCGGGTTATCATTTATCTTATTGTTATAAAATCTGTATTTACTTTATTTGTTTGTGAACCACTCAGAGTAGCGCCATGCACCAATGGGGCAGTATGAAAATGGAATAAATAAATAAATAGAATTTAGGATTGTACTTTGAGCTTGGAAATCATCTGGAATCTGCAGTGAAGCAGGGGTAGGTGTGAATTCCTGAACAAATCCGAAACAAAATGAGGAAGCCCAAATTTATGTATAAAGCAAATTGGGGGGGCGGCGGCCTCTGGAGTGCAGAATATTCTTTTGATGCTTTGGTTAATAAAGCTGGAAGTGTAACAATAAAAACCAAAACGACATCTAGCCGGTGCAGGGATTCACAGAGCAGAATAGCTTCAAGTACATACCCTTTTATTCCACTCCTTTTCCTCATCAACTGATGCTTAAAGTTTCAGTAGCTCACGGTGAGACATTAATAGTAAAAAAAGAATTTTTAAAAATTCTTTACTTACAGTTGTGAATGGATCAAACAGCAGGCTATCAAAACAACTGGCTGCTTTCAGCCAGAGGCCTTAAAAGACGTAATAACTGACAATAGACAACAGAGAGGGAGAAAACAGAGGAGGGAGGTGGAGTTCTCTTTGAAAATTGAAGGGAGAAGGAAGAGAAAGAGAAAACGGATGAGACTTTTCCCTGTGCACTAGAGGCTGAGCAGCAGTTGATAGCACTGATTATCACACATACCCGATCCCAGCTCTGAGTCCTTTATTTGACTCCTTCTCATGCTTTTTCACTATTTGGACAAATATTTTCCAGTATTCAGATACAAATTGATGTCCGCTAGTCACAAATCAGCTCCAAGCAGAACAGTTGTCATTTGTAATTCTAATCCTTTGGGTCAAATCAGGGCAGATGATATTTGCCCACCTTTAGTAGAAATTAACATTTCCATTTTCTTTTGCAAAAAGTTACATTTTGAGGCTACAGTTCTCACAATCCTCCAGATAGTTCTGGTGAGGTACCTCAGAATTTACTGCTGTGTCACTACAGATGACTCCTCAAAGGAGTGAGGGGAAAAAAGTATCCCCATCCATTGTTTGCTGCTAGCGGTGTAGTGGAGACAGGGGCACATAAGGGTGAAGCCCTGGGAATTTCTGAATGGCTGGGACCATGAGATCATGCACCAGCCCTTCACTGTTCTTTTTGAGCTTAGCTGCAATTCCCAAAGCAACCTGGAAACAGCTAGATTTTCCTAGGAAAAGTAAAGTTGCAAGCTATCCCTGCTGAAAAGCAAAATATTTGATAGTGATCTGGTCTTGAATGGGTAATTAAGAGCCATTAACTTTTCAAAAGACCTGTTTCTTAGCATGGACCTACTGGACTGCTTGCATTTTTAAAATTCTTCTTATGTGGTGCAGAGAGGCTGCCTATGGGAGTCTCACCATACTCCTTCTGGGCTAGGACATTGTGTTTTTATCCACTGCAGATATGTTTGAGACAAAAACTGTCCAGCTTTTAAACTTCAAGGGGATCTCAATGTTCTTAGGCAAAGGTGAAGGATGCAGCTAGTGGGAAACAGGAAAGAGGTTCCCTCCTAGAAATCATTTTGGGGGGAAAAAAGCATCATGTCATCTGCAGGATTAGCAGCTTCCTTCTGTTGCAAAAGAATCTCAGGGGAGTCTTGTCAAAGCCACCTGTTATGAGACTCTGCTGATGTGAGCTGTCAGTTTCTCTGGACAGTGGGATAGGCGGAAAATAAAACATGGTGTGATGAAGAGTGGATGAAGGCTAGGAACATCAGTTCTCATGCATAAACGTCTCTGGTGGTGAGAAAGTACAGCGAAAGAGTCATATTTGGTCCTTGGAAGTAGGGGGTGTAACATCCATGGTCCTCCAGATATTGACAGGCGGACATTCCACAATTCCCTTTCAATTGGCTGATGATGGACGTGGGCATTCTTCCATCTGGAAGGCCACACGTTCCTAACTCTTGTGTTGAAATTTCCTTCCAGGAAGGCAGGGTACCCTGGGTGGCGTAGCGATAGAGTGATTGACTTGGATTCTGGAGACCCGGGTTCAAATCCCACACTCTAAATATCTCAGCCATTTTGAAAGCCCTATTAGGGGCCCTACAAGTCAGTTCCAACTTGACGGTACATGACACACATGCATTAGGGATGCTCCAGCAGAAGACAGCAGTGCGATTATGCGTGGTGCACGCCACTGTCCTGGAGGGCAAATGAAACAGACGGAGAATCAAGCGCTTTAAAATTATTACGGCTCTTTGTTATCATTTAACCCCTGCACTCTTTTCTTTTCCAAGAGCGCAGAACTCCTGCATTTTAGCTTTCATCTACATGCAGTTATGGACTTTATACACAGTCTACTATAAAAAGGGATTCCCACTGTGTTGTCGTAGATAGAGTGATGGATTTGGACTCTGGAGACCAGGGTTCGAATCTCCACTCGGCCATGGAAACTCACTGAGCTAGTAAAACCACTCCTTAAATACCTCACTTACCTTGAAAGCCCGTCACGAAAAGTTAGTTCTAACTTGGTGGCACAGAACACACACATTATATAAAAAAAGAATAAGCTGAAATGTGGATTTATTGTAAGATGCTGAAAAAAGTTGAAGTGATGAGTGACCTGTGAAGGAGCACTATAATGCATGTTAAAGACCAAGACTCCTGAAACACATTAGTTACGGAAAGCTCAAATGCTTTAGTCATTTGAGAAATGAAAAGCAGAGATTGTTACAGCTGATCATTCAAGGCAAAAAAATAAAAGTGAAAAAAGGTGCAGGCAGGAGAAAAACTGATAGAACTAACAGTTTGGATACAAAACAACATCATTGATAGCTGCAACATCCAGAGTCAACATAACGGTGATGAGACCCAACTTCCTATAAGAAAAGAGAAACAAGCTTTATGATGATGCCCTGCCCGAGCGTGCATCTCAATGTAATCGCTGTTTGTCCTGATATTTAAATTTCACTGAGTTGTCTTTGGGAGCTGATTATTATTTTTTTCTTTTACCTGAAAAATAAAGGGATAAAAGTGTAACATAATCATAATTATTGAAATGTATTGGGTTTGCGTGTGTGTGAAATATTATGCCAGTCATTTGGAAATTTAACAGGATTTTTATTTTATTTTTTACATTTTAATTGTGATTTTAGCCATTTTGTGTTATCTTTGCTTTGCAATACATTTTAGCTAAAAGCGTGATACATCTGCGATTAGTGTATGTCCTATGTGTTAAGACCCACCATACTTCTGTTTTGCTTTACTACATGAATACATTTTT